AGAGAGAGAACAGGCAAGCCCAAGCAGAAGCAGGGCAAAGAGGGAAGACGGGGAAAATGAGGCCAGAACTTTCTTTAATGCGGAACCGCCATGCTTTGTTCACCCCAGGGCCATGTTGACCGGCATCTCCTCCCCTGCAGCTTGAGCCGGGAAGTCAAAGCCAAGAGAGCGGTGTTCCCTAGAACCTCCGCTCAGCTGGAATGGAGGCCGCAGGGCTAGGTCAAGCGTCAGCCTTGGCTGTGAGTCCTATAGCCCTCTACGAAGTGGCAGCTCGGGAGGCTCCCCACTAAAGGGCTGTCTGGGTGAGTGCAGGTCAGTGAGCCCCGAGGATGGTCTCCCCAGCTCTTGAGCCGTAAGCGCACCAGTTTCAGTTGAACCCGCAACCCAGCCAACATTTTGGATGATGCGTCCCCTGGCCCAGCTTCCAAGCTGCTCCTGCACAAAGGTGAGGTGGCCTGGAGTGGGGAGCTGGTTGGCGGAATTTATGCCCAAACCCCAGCAGCTGGAGTCCGTGACCTTGTCGTATCTCTGTGTTGCAAGCACGGCTTTTGAATCATTGTGAAATCAGAAGTTGTATTGTTCTAGCTTGTAGTAAGATAAACGACGTCTAACAATGTAAAGGAAACAGTATGCCTTGGTACTGTGGAGTCCCCCCGCCTGCCCTCACCCAGCCCCGGGACACGCGCTGCACCCCTGGTGGAAAGGGGCCTGCTTGTTGGGCACGTGCGGCGGGCCAGGCTGCGTGCGGGCAGCTTTCATCTCTCCCCCATCATCATTACAACCTGGAAGCTCGGTTGTTCTTCTACCTGTTGAGCACATGAGGGAAATGAGGCTAGAGGAGAGGGAGACCCCTGCCCCCGGCACACAGCCAGGCATGGGCGGAGCCAGGACGCCAAGGCAGATGGAACGGATTAGAAGGTGCTTGCCCTGAGCTCAGGACAGGTGTCCTGGAGAGCCTGAGATACAGCTGACCTTGGCGCCTATCCTGTCTTTAGAGTCTTCCCCCTGAGTGCTTTCACGTGTGTGAGTGCTTTTGACCCAGCCTGACTTGACGGAGCTCAGGTGCCTGCTTCTACCCTTGCCCTCTCTGGTCTGTTCACCCAGCAGCCCAACGGAGCCTCGGAATGTAAGTCAGATGGTGTTCTCCTTCTGCTTAAAACCCTCCAGCGGCTTCCTGTCACCCTGAGAAGATCAGCCGAAGCCTTAGGATGGCCCAGAGCCCCACGTGGTCTATACCCAGCTCCGACTCCACTACCATCCTCCCTGATCCTGCGCCGGCTTCCCTGTCTCCAGAACCTGCCAACTTGGACCATGTCTCAGGGCCTCTGCCCTGCTCTTTGGTCTGCAATCTCCCTGTCCAGACACCCATGTGGCCTGCTCCGTCACCTGGTTCAGGTGTCCGCTCCAATGTGCCAATGTGGCACAAGCCTTACCTGGTCGTAGCGAGTGAAATAACAGCTCCGGGACCGTCTCTGCTGGTCTCTCTTTGGGGCACTTTATCTGACATTAAATATTTGGTTGTTTGAGGTCTGCTTCCCCAGCTGGAAGGTCAGTGCTTTAAGGGCGGGGATCTTGCTGGTCTCATCTGTCCCTGAGTCCACAGCCCTTGGCGGAGGGTTTCCCTGAAACCTGAAACTGCTACTGCGACCGAGAGCGGACTCCCTTCTTTAGAGATGGCCCTGCAGGCTCCGAGCGGAGGGAGGGTCTTCTGACTTCAGGCCCAACACCTAACCATCCATGCAGGGGCTGGCCTCGCTGGCTTCGGGTGGGCCATGGCCCTCTCCCGACTCCCACAGTCTCCCTGGGGAGCACCGGGAGGCTGCCCTGTGGACGTGGACAGGGGCTCCTGCCCCAGCAAGCTAACGGTTTTAACATGGGCACCACGGTTTCAGTTCTGCTGGGGTGCCTCGGGGGCGTCTGGCACGGGGGACATTTCTGAAAAGCATTTAGGGAGTAAAAGCAAACTGGCTTCCCTGGGCAGCTCCAGCTGGGAATTCAATCCTTCACCAGGAGGTGTGGCTTCCGTTTCGGAACCAATGAGGAACAGCCTAGGGAGCTAAAGACATTGCCTTGAAACGCACAACAGTCCAGCAAAACACCTGGCCCTGAGCCTCAGGTTCAACCCACACCAATAAAGTGTCCACTGTGTGTCAGGCATTCTTACTGTGTGGGTCTTTAACTCTTACCTCTGCCCGTCACTTTGGTATCTTCCCTGGGTGTCGCAGACACCTCCAACCCCATGTGCCCTCAACAGAAGGATGGGTTTCCCCCCTGCATTCCCACATATGCCCATCTCAAAGGATGGCACTGTAACCCTTGTCAAGCCAAGCCTCCCACCGCCCCCCCAACTCTTCTATCTCCCTCATCCCCCATCCAAACCCTCAGGAGCCCTCTTGGCTTTAGCGCAACCCTGAAGCCTTGATCCAACCAACTTTCTTCTGTTGCTTGGACAACTGCAATAATTTCTTTGCTGGTCTCCCAGCCTCCACCCTTTGCCTCCTGTTGCCCATTCTCCACACAGCAGCCAGAGTAGTCCTTTTAAAACATAAATGAGCTCACACAGCTTTTCCTGTTTAATGCTCCCTGGCCCCACGCTGTCTACAGCACGTAGGATAAACTCTGATATCCACGACCCATGTCTGGCCCACACCTCCCTCTCCAGACTCTCTTATCCCAGTTGCCCCTGTGCTTTCACTCATTCACTACAGTCACTGTGGCCTTCACACACTTCCGCCTTTGCATGTGCTGGTCCCGCCTCTCTAGATCTCCACCTGGCTGGCTGCTCTTTTAAGCCTCAGCTCAAGTGTCCCCTCCTCCAGAGGCCTCTCCTGACTCCCTGAGAAATGCTGACCACCTCCTCACAGCCTACCCCTCTCTCCCATCACTCACTATCATATCTCATTGTTGTATTTTCTTCACGACCATCTCATTAAACGGACTTTCTCATTTATGGATTTGTTTGGCTGTTTATTGCTGAGGCCCCGGGAGGATTGAAGGTGACACAGCTGGAGTTCCTGCCCTCATGGAGCCAACATTTTAAGGAGGAGATCTTGAGAGACTAAATCCAGCCTGGATTTTTCAACTACAAGAGCCAATAATCACTCTTCCTTTGCTAAAGCCAATCAGGTTTCGTGATTTGCAATCAGCCGACTCTGTATTACATTACGCTCCATAAATATTTGCTGAATTCAAATGCCATGTTTGTTTTGCTCATTTGTTCTCTCCCTCCCTCCCACCTCCCTCTTTTTCCCCAAGACACGAGAGGTCACTGTAAAGCGGGCCTGCACGTTGCATCTGGCTGAAGGGACAGTCCTGGGCTTAATGCTCACAGAACATCCTACCATGCCAATGTTCTCTTTTGTCATCAATGACTTTCTACATAGATCCTCTCTTTGACTCCTCAAAAAGTTGAAAATAGAGCTACCCTATGACCCAGCAGTTGCATTACTCGGTATTTAACCCAAAGATGCAAATGTAGTGATCCAAAGGGCCACCCGCACCCCAATGTTTATATCAGCAGTGTCCACAATAGCCAAACTATGGAAAGAGCCCAGATGTCCTTCGAAGACGAATGGATAAAGAAGATGTGGTGTATATACACAATGGAATACTACTCAGCCGTCAAAAAAATGAAATCTTGCCATTTGCAATGACGTGGATGGAACTAGAAGGTATTAGGCTGAGCGAAATAAGTCAATCAGAGAAAGACAATTATCACATGATCTCACTCATGTGTGGAATTTAAGAAACAAAACACAGGATCATAGGGGAAAGGAGGGAAAAATAAGACAAGATGAAATCAGAGAGAAAGACAAACTGTAAGAGACTCTTAATTATAGGAAACAAACAGGGCTGCTGGAGGGGAGGTGGTGAGGGAAAGAAAACCTTCCTGATGATAATGTATTAGTCATGCTCTGGGCCAACCAGGCTAGATCTGAATTCAGAGCCTTCATATTTCTATTTCACAGGCTAGTCCCAGGGATTTTTGATTCCAGGAAGAAATATTCCTGCTAAGATAAACTGGACTGTTCTTTCATACACAGTATAATGTAAGTTACCTTCATTTTTCAATCTAGTAAACCAAAAACACAAATACAATTTGCAAAGCCATTTGATCCCTCCGTTAATCCTCTTATCAGCCAAAACAACAACAACAACAACACAGTCACACCAAACCCCTTCTCACCTTGTAGAAAGCTGCTTGCTCCTTCATCAGAGGTAAGTCATGCATTGTATTTCCCTCCTTGCTTTGGCTACCAGGGAGCTCAGAGAGATTAACTCTGAACTTCACTGCAGTAGTTGGCCTGAGCTAGATTTTTTGGTACAGTGCTTTACCCTTATTCATTAACTTAGCTTTCTATTCCTTTGCTTTGCTTTAATAATTCAATTTTAAATATGTTTTCCATTTGAAATCCTTCTCAAATCTTTCTGCCACAGGCTGGATATAAACAAAGGAGTTAAATTCATTTCTGATGCTATCTCCTTCCCCTTTCCTATCTCTTTTGCCACTTGCTTCGGGCACAGAGCAGACACTAAATAAGCACCAGTCCCTCTGCTTGCTCTCTCTGTAAAATGTGTTTTCAGGGGAATGTAAATTGTTTTTAAAAGCTTCCATCCTGGCCCACTGCTAATTATTACTGACCCAGGAGGATCTGTACTAATTTGCCTCAATAAACTTATTAAATAGTAAGTTTCAGGAGGAAGCGACCGCATGGCCTTAATTGGATTAGCGAGACCACCAGTGGTCATCGCAGCCAGAGTGGCGAGAAGCCCACTGGCCGCATGGGGCAGCTGTGGCGATCAGCTGGCCAAGTGTGTTTTCAATAAACTGTCGCTGGCCATAGCGTTGTGCCTTCTTGGGGGTTGTCAGCAAAAGTTTCTAGCCTCCAAAGGAAAAAGGAAAAACAGAAAAGAGAGAAGGCAGCATCTCTTCCCCTGAACCCGCCGCAGGTCTTTAAGCATGGGGACTAGGACGTGGGACGGGGCGGGGGGTGCCAAACCTCCAGGTCGTTGAAGAACAGATGCGTATCTGCAAGGTTGAAGATCATTTCTTCCATCATCAGGCCGATGCGCACCGACGTCGTGGTGTCCTGGTAGAAAGAAAGGACAGAGTCACCTGCTGGCTGCGCCTCTCTCTCCCATCCCCCCTGCTGACAGGCAGGGTCATTCCTGATGGGCTCCCACGTGGTCTCAGCTGTGTCTCCATGTGGAGTCAGGGTGATAATGCTTGATGGCTTCCAAGATTTCCCTTCTAGGCGCCCCTAGTTTCTACTAGCCCTCTCCCCCAATGCCCCCGCAACTGCGACTGTGCTCAGCATTGCCAGATCCAGGAATGGCAGCAAGAAAGGAGGGCCCCTCCCAGCCTTTCCCCTTCCAGGGAGGCCTGGAAGACTGCAGGGAAGCAGCGCAGACTGTCTAAAACCCACCGTGAGAGCCGATATGTATGCTGGTTGTCTCTTTACTACGGTCTCTCTGTGGATGCCGTCATACTCCTCCCGATATGTGCACTATCACGGTGACCTCACAAGAGGATTAATTATAAAAACAAGCGCACAAACAAAACCCCATGATGGCCCATCCTTACCCCGGAAATCTAGGCCGCCATTAAAAAGCAAAGTCATGTGGGAGTTCCTGAGGTGAAACTATCACCAAGATATGAAGTAACAACTGTGCAGTGAAAGGGTCCCTTCTCTCTCCCTCTCCCCTATACACAGGCTGTGGTAGACTGTGGGACTCTTCACCCATATTTGGGGTCTCTTCCTGGAGAGCTTCTGCCTGTAGGAGGATGACCCACACCGGGGGTTGGCACACTACACCCATGGGTCCAATCTGGCCTGCTGCTTGTTCGCGTATGGCTCATGAGCTAGGAATGAATTTCCACATTAAAAAAAATTTTTTTTGAGAGATAGAGAGTGCATGTGTGTGCAAGTGGGGGGAGGGGAAGAGGGAGAAAGAATCTTTGGCAGGCTCCACACCCAGCATGGAGCCCGATGCAGGGCTTGACCCCATGACCCTGAGGTCATGACCTGAGCCGAAATCAAGAGTTGGACACTCAACCAACCGAGCTACCCAGGTGCCCCTGACTTTTTCCATTCTTCAACAGCGTGTTGTCTATGGCAAGTTTGGCACTTTGAAGGCAGAGGAGAGCAGGAGCCACAGAGACCAGGTGTCCTGCAAAGCCTAAAATATTTACTATCTGGCCCTTTGCAGGAAAAGTCTGGTGACCCCTGAAATATGCCCTCCCTGTTTGACTCAGATGCGACTGTGTGACTTGCATGGGTAATGATATGTGAGCAGAAGTTGTGTTTCATTTCTGGTCCGAAGCTTTAAAAGCAAGTGCATGGTACTGGGTATTTACCCCAAAGATTCAGATGTGGTGAAAAGAAGGGCCATCTGTACCCCAATGTTCACAGCAGCAATGGCCACAATTGCCAAGCTGTGGAAAGAGCCAAGATGCCTTTCAACAGATGAATGGATAAAGAAGATATGGTCCATAGATACAATGGAATATTACGCCTCCATCAGAAAGGATGAATTCCCAACTTTTTTATCAACATGGACAGGACTGGAGGAGATTATGCTGAGTGAAATAAGTCAGGCAGAGAGAGTCAATGATCATATGGCTTCACTTACTTGTGGAGCATAAGGAATAACACGGATGACATTAGGAGAAGGAAAGGAAAAGTGAATTGTGGGAAATCGGAGGGGGAGAAGAACCATGAGACACTGCTGACTCTGAGAATCAAACAGCATTCTGGAGGGGAGGGTGGTGGGGGGTTGGTGAGCCTGGTGGTGGGTATTAAGAAGGGCATGTACTGGATGGAGCACTGGGCATGGTGCATAAACAATGAAACTTGGAACCCTGGAAAAATAAAACAACAAAAAATAAAAACAATAAAAGTCAGTGCATGGTTGGTCATGCTCTCTCCTCCCACTTCACAAGACTAAATGTTCCAGAGACAAGATGATGTGGGTCAGAGCTGCAACAAACCAGAACGGGCATATACCGTAAAAGAGAAGTGGATGACATCTTGGAGATGCTTGTTACAGCAGCATAACCTCACCTATCCTAACTGATACACGTGAAAAATACTTGGCACGATGGCTCTCAGTTCTGGCTGCACACTGCAATGATTGGGAGAAGGTAAAAATCCTGATGCTCAGGCCCTCTCCTGGGCCAATAAAATCAGAATTTCTGAGGATGGAGTCCAGGCATCAGACATTTGGAAATCTCTCCACCCTCCTAATTTCAATGTGTGGCCAAGGTAAGAACCACTGGTCTAAAAGGATATAAACACTTGGTAATATTCCAGGTTAATATCTATTAAGTGCTTTCTCTGTGCCACTGTACAAATTAACTCATTTAAGCCCCACAAAGACTTATGAGTTGAGCGTTATTATTTTCCCATTTTACAGATGAGAAAACAGGCCCAAAACGATTAGGTAACTTGCTCAAGGCCCCGCAGCAAGTGAGTGCTGGGATGTGAACCCAGGTCATGGGGCCCCAGAGCAGCCCTGCTTGTGCAGAGGCCTTGGAGAGGCTGTGGTGGCAGGAGGCGTGAAGGGGACCTTAGTACACGTCTTTTCCTGCTTGAATTTTTCACCAGGAGGCTGTCTCACTTCTAATATAAAAATAAATAATTAACGACATAAACCCTTCTTGACCCTGAAAAAAAAAGGGGGAAAAATGCAGCTGGTGATCTCAGCTCACACACACAACTGTGGAGAATCAAGCCCAGGAACACAGAAATTCGGTGAAACACCTCATTAGGGCCCCAGAAGCCAAAGCTTAGCATTCCGGGTCCTGGCTGGAAGGCGGCAGGGTACTCAGTGAGAAATGAAGAAAAAATGAGGAAAGCAAACGTTTTGGGTCAAGCAGGGAATTGGTGTGTGACCCGGGAAATGGTTTTGGAGGGGGATGTTTCCACACATGACTCAACCCCGAACCATTTCACCCCTGCGCGATTGTATGTTCTGAAGCCGCGCACCCAACCACGGGTGAGCAGGCTTCCGTGCACTGGACGAGAGTGACCGTCTACACTCATCCGCTGAAAGAATTTATATAGAAAAATGTCTGCTCCCAGGCCAGCGCATAAACCAGGAAAAGCAATTATTGCGTATGGGATGGGCTGTCTGGGAAAAGTATTTTGTGTAGCTAGAAGAAGGCAAATGTTCAATATTGATACAGCTGAAATGACATCTTATTGATAGCGGCAGGATGTGGGTAGGAAGTCTGCATGTGTGTGTTGGGGGCCAGGGTGAGGAAAGAGAGCTAAATTCTCATCTTTTAGTTTGGGAAGTCAGGGAGCATGCCTAAAATGGAAATGAAAAATCAAGAAGTAATAACATGAGCAGGTTACTTAGAAATTTGGAGATAAGTACCAAAAGAATCGGCAAGGGTTGAAAGTTGTTGCCTGTGGGCAGAAAGAAAGGGTATGTGTGGGGTCCACTGGGGACTGCTGTTTCCTCTAACACTTTCCCTTGTAGATCTATATGAGTTTTAAACTATATGCATGGATTTCCTAGATTAAAAGAGCGAAATTAAAAACAAAAGGGAACATACTAAGTATTTCCCTAGAGAAAAACCCATGCAGAGGAACAGGGGACATGTAAAAAGTCATTCATTTCAGAATTATTTGTAAAGACCAAAGATTGAACAATTTAGCTGTCTAGCCAAAAGTTACTAGAGAAATAAAATGTAGTACATTCATTCACTGGAAAACTAAATTTAATTGAAAGAAATGAACCACATCTCCACGTATTAATAGGGGCATGTCAAAAAAATAATACCAAGTGAAATTAACAGTTTTCTGAAAGTTATGTACTGCATGTTACTGGCATTTACTAGAAACACACACAATGCTACTACCTATTTTCCATAGTCACTTTATATTTATAAATTTCTGGAAGGATATACTCAGAGTCAGAACAGTAACTACTTCTGGAAGGCACAGTGGAGAGGACGGGAATTCGAGGTAAAGATGAACGTTAACTTTAGCATGAGCTAGAATATTCTAAATTGTTTTGAAAGAGAAGGGATTCACATACTTATCATATAATCAAAATTAAAACAAAATTTTGAGGCACCTGTCTCAGTTGGTGCAGTGTGAGACTCTTGATCTCAGGGTTGTGTATCTGAGCTCCATGTTGGGTGTAGAGATCACTTAAAAATAAAATCTTTAAAAAAAATTCAAAACAAAATTTTAAAAACACCCAGATGTTTCTGAGGGGAACCTTTAGAATGCCCATCTACTCCTTGAGAATTCTCATTGTTTCAAGTTTTCCTAAAATCTGTCTGCATGCTGGCTGGGGATTGTTGTGAATTCTGTAGGTGGGACCTCTTTTTAAGGAATTTGATATAAACTAGCTGTAAAAGGCAGAAAAGCCTGGAATAACCCAACTGTCCCAGGAATTAAGGAATACAAAGTGTGACCCTGAGCCAGACCACTTTATCCAAGTAGAAAATGTTTTTCCAGGATTGCAAAGACTGAGAACCTAAGGGGGAAAAAAAAATGGGCGGGGTCTCAGCAGTAATTAACATGTAACACATCCACAGTGAGGGCAACAGAAAGCCCCTGGTTTTGTCTCTTGCTACCTGCCCAATCTGTTCCTAATTTACTCCACAAACACACCACCTTGGTCTGTTGGCTAAAGTTGCTCTGTGCAACTTGGAGGGGGAATCTCTTTCTGAGCTAGCATGTCACCCTGTCAAATAAACCCTAACATAGGGAAACCTTCACGCCACGTTCTTCAGCTACAAACAGGCCCATGACCCATTCAAACTCACTCTGACCCCTCTAATACCCGAGGTCGCGGTGAGGTTTATGCAGCAGACACTCCACCAGCACTGGTCATTGTCAAAATCCCCCAGGCCACGTCCTTGAACCCGTACGTCAAGAACCTGTGTCTGTAAACCCAGCCCGAACACCCCAAAATCAGGTGGTACTGCATGAAAACCACCTCTTAATCATGACGTACTCTTTGGATTAAAAAAAATCAGCTCGTTTAGGTTCATTTCCTAAATAAGCAACAGCACACCCAGATTGTTTTTAACAAATGATCAATTTAAACCAGAAGGGAGAACTGGAAA